GTACTTCCGAATGTCCAGCAATTCGTCTCTGGTGAAACTGATTGCAGGGATATAACTAAAGACAGGACAAACTAACAAAAACATAAAAACAACTGCAGAGCGCCATTGTGCATTTTAATGCATCCGAAGTGAAGGCAAGAACCGCCCGACTCGAAGCTATGGCTCGCTAGCGCTAGCATTCTGCCTGCTCCAGATCAGACAGAGATGAAATAGTGCGGTAAGATCACATTTATTTGAATGAGTTAATTCTAACATTTACTTGAATTAATTATTCGATCGATCGAGAGAGAGATATAAATGACGTGTTGCGGGCGGCATCTCTCTGCAAACAATGAAGCTGTGTTTAGTTAATTCAAAAACAGTGATTGTACCCCCTCGTTGCTGACGAGTGATGAATATAATGTAGCGATCCATTATCTAAGCTATTTTATTAATAAAAGTCGCGAGGCAGCGTTGACAACAAGTTTCTGTGCTCTTGAATGTTTCTGTGTGCGCGCAGATCTCCGATCTCACAAACCAAAATAACGGACATGATTTTCTCAGGTCACATACTAAATTAGATGAATTATTAAAAAGATTATTAAAATGAATACGTATGGATGACAGTTGATGACAATAAAAGTTAATTTAATTCCCCTCATTAACAGTTTCGCCTGAGGGATAAAGTTAATATTAGTTTTATATTAATAATAATACTTAATTAACATAGTGATTTATTATCCCTGTTATAGCATTATTTATGTCAAAAACCACTGGTGATTTTTTTCACCATGTTTCCAAGTTCTCTACGTCAGATCCATAAGAAATGTAGAATGAATGCCCAAACTGAAAACACTAAATAATTTAGTGATCTATTTCCATTTGTTATTTTTGAAAGGGAAATACTGACATGGATGTTTCAGAGCAGAGGTCACCTTTTTTTATTCCAAAGGGAGAGATGAACTTTTTGTTTGTCTTTATTATTATTTTGTGCTGTATTAGGCTATTTGGTTACTCTTTCAAAAGGCAGCAATAAATAACACTTTAAAATCGAAAGTGTTCGTGTGATTTTATACATTAGTAGTGCTGTGAAATTAATGAATGCATAATAATTGTGATATCGTGATTATTCCTCAGACTATAATCGTACCAGCAAAATCTATAATCGTTGCATCCCTACTGGCTACCAATAGCTGCTCGCATAAAATTCAAGGCATTGATGTTTGCCTACAAAATCCCCACTGGCTCTGCACCCCTTTACCTAAATTCATTACTTCAGACTTATGTGCCCTCTAGAAGCTTGCGTTCTGCAAGTGAACGTCGCTTTATTGTGCCATCCCAAAGAAGCACCAAATCACTTTTACGGACTTTTAAATTAAATGTTCCCTCCTGGTGGAATGACCTGCCCAACTCAATCCGAGCAGCGGAGTCCTTAGCCATCTTCAAGAATCGGCTAAAAACACATCTCTTCCATCTTTATTTGACCCTCTAACTCTAGCACTCTCTATTTTAATTCTATTCTTTAAAAAAAAAAAACACTTGTGCCTTTTAGACTTGCACTCTATTCATTTGCTGCTTGTTTTCTTTAAAAAACAAAACAACAAAAAACTAACACTTGCTTTCTAATGTTTCTGTATTCTATTGGTTTTCTTTTCATTTATTATACAATTAACAAAAGCAAAAAAGACCTCTAACACTAGCTTGCTCTATTCTTTTTCTATTCTATCTGTTTTCTTTTTATTTATTATATTATTTAAAAAACCCTTGCTACATGTACTGCGTTAAGCTAACTGAGACTTGTTATAGCACTTGTATATCATTGCTCTCTTGTTGATTTTGATTGCTTCCATTGTCCTCATTTGTAAGTTGCTTTGGATACAAGCATCTCCTAAATGACTAAATGTAAATGTCTATTGTTAGCCACTGGCTAATACACAGTTAGATTTCAAGCGCCAGTGATTGCGTTAGAGGCTTGAGTAAATTTAAGCGCAGATATATTTTCACTCACCTACACTTGAACACACTCTCCATGTCTTGATAGTATAGTGAGTGCACTATTCCTATTCATATCAATGGTTGAGCAGCGTACACCATAAACTCTAATAAGCACTCCGATTCACAGATAGCACAGGTATGTCTCTAAGATGTCTTCTAAAGTGTGCTTGATCTACATCTGTGTAAAAACATCTGATAATAAATGTCTGTTTTCTAAATCATAAACATTTCTAAATCATATACATAAACAAACATTTTCTAAATGTCTAATTAACATCTGATAGGAGACGTCTTAGAGACTTATTTATTTCAGATGAGCAAACACTAAAAAATACATCTTGCAGATGTAAATGCAGAGGTGCGATGTCACCGTGATGTATGTGTGCTATGGCTGAGAGAGCGCTGTGTGTTTCTCTCAAACACACAAAGAGAGAAAAAGCAAGAGAGTCTTACATAACATGGAGAATTGACATGCTACATGTAAATCATATTCTTTGTTGTTTTTTGCTGTAAAAATTACTCAGCCTTTAAAAACAAGCAGAAGACACTGACGGTTCCTTCAGTAGTAGGTGCGAATAATGCATAAACGGCAATTCAACTGGCTAGTGGTCATCTATTACATCCGAAGTTTGATTTCAGCAAATCAGTTCAAGCGAACACAGACAGCTTGATTAATAGTCTGGAGTCCTGCAGCTTATCAATATTAGCATTTGAATTAGTAGTAGTTTTTTTTTTTTTTTTTACAGAAACACTGAATGACCAATAATGTGTCAAGCATCACTAATAGCCAATACGTTCTTCATAATAAATAAAAAAAATGCTTGACTGACTGATTGTTATAGAGCGTTGTTAAAACATTCTAGGACTGTTAGCTGAGCAAGATCACAGTACATCTCAATTCTGAAAAAGATGCATTGTGTCCTTGTGTCCTTCAGAGTTTGTTCTTTCAAAGCAGCCTGGCAAGACCATTCTCCATGAGAACGTTAAGTCTGTTTTTCAATAATCCAATATGGAAGTAGAAAATATCTGAACTACTGACAATCATTTTAACAGTACCAAAACATGGGGGGGGTCCTTAAAACGTAAGACAATTACAATGTTGTTAAAGGTAAATAATCTAGTCATTCTAAGCTGTGATGGACTCACCATGTAGTATCTCCAGAGCTGGTGACTATCTGACTATCATCCAGAAAGCGACAACATGACAAATAACCTGGTGAGGAAGGGGGAAAAAAGTATATCTCAGAACAGGAGCTTCAACCCACTGTATAAGTATGCAGACTAATGATGCTAATCCTGCTGCTGACAGACTTTACCTGTGTGTCCAGGAAGTTCTCTGGTGACTCTGACGTTGCCCTCACGGGTTTTAAGGCTGTAGATTGAACAGATGTTGTCCAGGCCTCCGCAGGCTACATAATTCCCTGAGGGAGCGTAGGCACAAGTCATCACCCATGATGACCTTAATGGAATGGCATGCATCTGGAAAGAAACCAAACAAAAATTGATGCACTTGCTATTCCCATTCGTTATAAAGAATGAGATCAATGTTGGATTCAGAAACTGCATTCTACTCTTATTATTTCTATCATATAACAAAATGGTAAAAAATAGTAAGAGTAGTATGCTAGAATATGGTTCCAAAATCAGCACAAGAGCCAGGATGTTCCGCAAATCCTCCAATGGGGCTGGAGCTAAGTATAAGAACATTATTTTTGTGCAAACTACCACTTTCATTTTGATGACTTTTGAATTTTATGATTTACATTTGCGTTTTAGCTTCTACAAAATGTAGGTTAACTGATTTTAATTTTAACTCACTATAATAATATATTATTCTTTTAAAAAAAGAAGTCACTAAATTTATGACCGTTATATGGGTCAAAGACGTTAAGATGTCCACATCAAAAAAAATTTACAAAAGTGATTATATGTCCATAGAAAGCACATTAAATGTAAGTAAAGTGTCTACTTTTAAGGTTTCAAATAAGTTTTTGGAGAATAAAATGTTAAAATTTGGTTGAAATAATGATACATTGTCATTCAGTGTAACACAATATGTATGTAAAAATTCAAACAACATGCCTATTCTGACTTGTACATATTAAAATATATAAAAGAATAAGGGAGCATATTAAATTTGATTGTGTTTTAAATGAGTAAAAAGTCTTACTGACAAATGGGCAAAACCTACGATAGTGGCAGATTTTAAAAATGTAAAATTACAACTAATTAGTATTTGGGGTGAATGTAATTAGTCTTTTAATGACATAAATTGATTTTTGTTGTAAATATGCCTGACAAGAATGTTACACTGAATGACATTTTAGTGGGTGTCTTCTGTAAATCAGGGGAAAATGTCTGATATTTATTTTTTGCTCGGAAAAACAAAATTGCAATTAAATTAAACAGAACATTTTTTTTAAATTTGGGAGAAAAACAACAACAATTTAAAGCAGTATTACACTTATTGTTTTTATGCTTAAACCCTTTTTCGTCTTTGACCCATATACATATTCTTGTTTAAAAGCTGTGCAGTTTAGATGTACATTCACTTGCTGGGCTGGACTAACCTTGTTTGTGGTGTAGCAGTCCCAAATGATGAGTTTGCCATCTTGTGAGGCACTAACTAGTAACCTTAATGTTTAAAAAAAGGGAGGGGGGTTAAAGAGTAAACCACTGTTCATAATACAGGGCTCGCAAAATTTCAAAATCCCTGGTAGCCCTTCGGGCAGGCATTCTTCAGATTTTGGTAGTCCAAAAATTAATTTAACTAGCCCGAATAAAAGATACTGTATTTTTTCTTCAAATAACAAGTCAAGAGAGTAGGGGTGCAACGGATCACAAATTTCACGGCTCGGATTATATTACATTATCATATCACATTTTGAGTCACAGATCGGATCATTTTTTCAGCCATAAAAAAAATATGGTTCTTTGTTACTGAAGTAACACTTATTATTTAAAGAACAATTTACTACTTCCATACCACAACACAAACTAGTAGCATATAGGGATGTAACAATTCACTCAATTCACGATGTGATTTCACAATACAATTTTCTCACAATTTCTTTTTTAACAAAATGAGATTTAAGACATGTTTTAAAAAAGGTGTCTTTTTGTTATTTCTCAGACCAAAAGACTGCACATTACTTTGTGAAATTGAAAATGTCAAACAATATACTAACGTGAAATTTTAAAACAAATCCCAAATCAAATAAATAATACAAATAAAAGAAATTTCTCCATGCAAGTAAACTAAGGTTTTGCCTGTGTATTTTAACCACGATTCAAACAATGATGCTGCATTCAAAATTGTAAAATTTTGAAATTTGAAACAAAAACAAAATGGTCTGACTTAGCTTTGTGATACTACATAAAAAATCTGAACGAAACAAAAACAGCAGACGGGCTGAATGAGACGCAAATGTCACAGGTGGTGCTTAAACAGCAGGTATTTAAAGGCTGCTGCCCCTTTAAGACCGAATGCATGGATTCAATATAATGATGCACGTGCAATTTCTTTCTCCACGGTTTACATTCAAGACATTTGCCGAGACAGTTATTTTGAGATAATTTTGCATGTATGTGTCCGTTCAAGCGAAAGAGGAATCAATTCTGTGTTCGTGCTCTGCCTGAAACGCCGCTCTGTATATGCGCGCTTTGAGCCTGTGTGCGTAAGCACCAAACTGAATTCTTCATGCGCATGAATGGTTTAAAACGCTTGAATGTTTAAATTGGTAAGACTTAGAAACACGTGTAAATGATAAACTATTAGGGCTGTCAAAATGGCTGAAAAACTCAATTTGAATTTTGTACTTGAAATATTATCAAAATTCAAATTATATTCGAATTTAAATTGCATAATTTCAGTTAGGGTGAAGAAAAGCTTTTGGCATCTCTCCTGAAGACACAAGAGGGTGCATCATTCAAAGCATAAGATAACATGACTATCTGCGAAAAAAAAGTGCATAATGTTTAAAATAATGTTTATAAACCAATTATAATTAAGCTGCTTAAACAACTATAAATAAAACAGCATCATGTATGTATGTATGCATAGTTTAATACAAAGAGCGGAAAGCCAATCACACAGAGCACATTTTCATTTAAAAACATGAGATGCAGTGGGATGGCGGAAAACTTGCCATAAAGTCTCGATATATGTTTTTTTTTCAAAGTTAAACTTGCATTAATTTTACATGGCTTTCTAAACATTTTCTAAACTCTTTTGTGCGAGACGCGAGTGCAACAGTAATAGATGTCCGTCTAGAAAATGCGTGAAATATGCATTCTGTGTGAACTGCTTGGTTTCGGTTTTGATGTAAACAAGATCTTCTCCGCAT